TCGGGGGACGCCGAGTCCCGCGGGGGCAGCAGGTGATGGGCCGGGCATGTCCTTGCCCGGGCACTCCGGTCACCCTTGGGTCCCCTGGTGGCAGGGTCCTGGGGCTCGGGGAAGGGGGGTTTCGGGGAGCAGGAGCTTCCTCACGCCACTTCCGACCTTGGAGCCGTGGCTCTTGGGGCTGTCGTTGGTGTGAAGGAACAGCCCGGCCCTTCCCTGTGCGCCATATGGGCTGTGAGCCACAACTAGATGAAAAGGCGGTTTTAAATAAAGCACAACATCATCGTAAACAGCTTTGAAAATAAGGTGGAGCTTTTGGGAGGGTCACTGTGTGCCTAGCGCGTGAAGGCTGTATTTGAGGGTACAAAATACTGAACACAAGTTTCAGTGCCCATTTCTCCCAAATATCACTAGAAAGAAATAGTCTGTGTTTCAGTGATGCTGAATCCTTTGCACCAGGAAGAGCGAAAATGGGGCAGTAAATAAAAGACCTTCGTCTTGGTAATGGAGTAAATAAGTGTAGGCTCAGCTAAGCTCTGTGGAACTACACGCAATAACCGTGCTGTGCTGTGAAACTTGTGCGGAGGAGCTGAGGAGAGATGAACAAAATAGTTTGAGAAAGGAACGGCAAATGCCTTTTCCTTTTGATGCAGCTCAGCTCTGTATTTATAATTTTGAATGTTTGGTGACAATAAAATAAAAACAAGTCAAAGGACCCAATGCACAAATATCAGAATTGAATTTTCATTTCAGCCCTAAAGTGGTATGTCATTGTTGACATTCTAACCTCCTACAAAAGCTTTAAACCCTTCCTTGTCATTTTGTAATTATCCTTTACTTGTGTGGTTTCAACTACTGACATTTACCACCATTTCAGTTTTAATTTTTTTGTTAATGAAGCATTTTATTGTCACATTCCTTTTTATCAGAGTTTTGGGAGGATTAGCCTTCCTGTACAACAAAAATACTGAAAGTTAGAAGGAATTAGAAAGTATTATTTTCAAGGTTAGAACTATGCCAATCTATGGGATAATGCAGAGTGTAATACAGCCCCAGTGCTTGCTTTTATTTTGAGTGTGTGAATTTTCAGTGTCATGGATTTGCAATTTTGGGACTTCTGGGGGCATGTACAGAATGAACAAAACCAACAAAAAAAGTTTATTTCTTCAAAAAGTTACCCCCTCTGTTTAAATTGAGCTGAATTGCATTTTGGAGGTTTTGTGGCAGGGCGAAAAGGCAGTTATTGCTTTTGAGCATCTCTAACGAACAACTTTATTGTCTTACCTAGGTATGTATTATTATTGGCTTTAATTTGTTTGAAGTATTACAGACAAACTAGTCTTGCTTTACCTTCTTTCACACCCCAGTGAAGTACAGTGTATGTTAGGTCTTTACATTTATCGTAGGTATCCTTTGGACCTAAGAATGTGCTAGACTTGGGATGTGAACTATTTTTAACATCACGGGTGTTTCCTTTCTTTTAAAAGGGTTATGTAAATGGGGGTGCCTGTATGCTAACAGATGCTTTCACTTGTCTTTTTCAGTCCTCTGCAAACCGAACAGCATGGCGCAAAGCGCCCAGAACCATCTTCAGCTAAAAGTTTGGTTGATATAGGCACTCGGAGGATCTTCTCGTCAGATCATGATATCTTCAGGGAGAGTGCCAGGAAGTTCTTTCAGGAAGAAGTGCTGCCTTTTCACGCAGAGTAAGATACCTCTTGAATATTCTGGTTTGCCAAATAATATGCATTCTTCACACAAAATGCTTTTGGGGATGTTACTCTTAATATGACATGGTAGACAGGATACTTGTTTTCATATATAAGTTTTCAAATTCACTCAATTAAAACAAACTTCCCTATGAGAATCACGTGAAAAAAAGAAATCGCACATAATCAAAATTCACTGCATTTTTTTTGATCTCCAGTGTAGGCAATCAGGCATCCTCAATGCAGTTTGCAGAGTTGCGGTGAAAGTATCCCTGCTTGTAGGTATTAACTCTTGACACCAATGTTTTAGGGGTAGAGTTAGGGAGACAATTCAGTTCCCACGCTATTGTACTGCTGTAATCCAAAACAGCATTAACGTTGTATCTGGGTTACATTGCAGTAGATTTTGTAAATACAGTGCACCTAGGATGGTAAGCTGGATTATGTATTGCCAAGAAACTTGCACAAAATATCTTTGTTTAAATTTGTCTTTTGCTTCTGTTGAAATACGGGTGGTCTTCTGTGCAGAGTAGAAGCATCATACTTCCATTGGACTAGAGCTGGAGGGTGTTTTTTTGCCCTTATTTTAGCTATATCCAGTCATATTATAGTTGGGGAAAGAAAATAAATGAACTCAGAACATGTTTTTGAACAGAAAGCGTTAAGCTGCAGTAGTGTCTTAATTTTTACTTTACTTGAAAAACATTCCTGTGAAAACACTGGGGGGTAGCTAAGGCCCTGTTCTTAAATCATGCTGCTAGATGAGTTTCCTGATGTAGCTCACAGTGTGTATCCACAAACAGTTGAGAGAGCACAATTGAGTGGGTGGGGTGTTGTGGCTCAGGGGCAGAAATGAACAGCAGGAGGCAATGGAAACAGCTTACATCAGGGTTGTTGCCAACTACTGTTTTTTTCATCCTCAAACCGTGACCTCTAAGGAGTATGCTTTTCCACTGTACAGTCATATTCTGTCCACAAAACCAGATGTTTTCCTTCATCTTTTGTTAGAATGACTTCTAGTGCCAGTTTGTGAACAGGTAGTGACTCTGCTTGAGGTTACTGAAGATCCTGTTTGCTAGCTTGCTGACACAACAGTTTCCTAGAGAGACTGGAACAAGTTGGACTTGTGTTCTTGCATCACTTCAGCGACCTATGAACCATTCTGTTCTCACACCTTTCAAGTAAACAGGGAGGCTTCAGGCATAGTATATTAATTGGCTGGGCTGATGTGAAGAGACTAATGTGGCATCAGTGAATGCAGTTGTGGATTATTGTGAGGAGGAGAAGCTTTGGTGATGGCTGAAGTAGAGACTGGAATGGCCCTGAAAGTGGGGGGACAAATGCAAAGGTGGTCACGAGAGAGATTTGTTTAAGATTTCCAGTGTAGGAGCAGAAGGTCTGGGAATGAGCTTAAATATGTAGCATAAGGTACTTGATTACCATGGCACTTTATCTACAGTTATAACTCTGCTGCACGCAGGTGTGTCAGGAATGTCTCTTATATAATCTGTCTACGATATAATTTTTAAATTGTGGTTTTTAAAAAAAGACCAAAAAAACCCCAGCCCAAACACCTGGACCATTAATGGCCATGCAACTTCTATTGAGTTGGCAAACTCCATACAGAGGCACTATTTTTACAAGAATAAGTGATTCCTGTGATGTTAATGTTTGCAAACTGCCAGCAGATAAGCCTCAACTATCTACAAACTTGAAACCACCTTAAAGCAGTAATTTACCAAGATACAGTACTGACTTGTAATAAGTGCACAGGGACTGATTTTTATATAAAAGTGACTGCTGTGTTAACACTTGATTCTTATAAAGCAATTCTCATTGGTAGAGGTGAAATCTTTCACAGAAGATACTGATGTGTTACACTCAGTTTGTATGTGGGGAAAATGGAATGTCAGGAAGATAAAGACCTGCTTGCAATTATCCAGATGGTTGTGGCTAAATCTTCTAAATACCAGTCTGGTACTTGGACCAATAGGCAGCACTGCCTTTCATAACAAGTCTTAAGGAGATGTCAGGTTAAATGCTGGAAGCAGGTGTTCAAACTTGTTATACAGTCGATGCCCCTGTAATGCCAGTGGTATCTGTGGACTTGAAGAATAGACAACTGATTACTAAATGACTGCTTCTTAGCTGCAAAATATAGTTGTCTGTGTACCCTACACGTTTTCTGTTAGTGAGACTGAAAGTCTCTTCCTATGCAGTGAAACCTGGCTGCAGGTGTTCTAGTGAGAAGCACCATCCATTATAAATAAACAGTAGCACATGGGGGTTTTAATGCATGACTGTTCTTGTGTTTGTTTTGCAGGTGGGAGAAGGATGGCCAGGTGAGCAGGGAGCTCTGGGAGAAGGCTGGACAGCAGGGTTTGCTGGGTGTTGCTATTGCTGAAAAACATGGAGGCATTGGAGCAGATATTCTCTCTTCAGCTGTGGTCTGGGAGGAACAGTAAGTACTAGACGATTCAGGAAAAATTTGAGTGATATTATCAAGAGATTTTTTTTTCCATAGGATGTCCTTATTATGGAGTACGTTTGCTTACAGAAAATGGTCTTATCTTTCTCATGGAAGGGATAGTTCAGACCTATGTAAATCCTTACTGTTTTAAGTATTTTGGATGATTGTTTAAGTAACAAATGTAATTGTGCTCCACTGTTAAGACTTTGCAGCAGGGGAACCATTTTTGTTAGGCTGGTAGGTTATATACCCATTTGGTTGTGAAAGTACATTCTGTAAATAACAGTACAAGTGCCACAGGCTCAGTTTGTCCAAGACTTCTGTGTGGTGTGGCTTTCTTCGTTGTTGCGTCTATGTTGTAATGGTGTGAAGTTCAATGTTTAAATCTTTGTAGTACTTTTTTTATGAACTCTGTTTTTCCCCCTACTCCCCAAGGATGTATGTTAACTGTACGGGTCCAGGATTCAGCCTTCATTCGGATATAGTCATGCCCTATATTGCAAACTATGGCTCTGAAGAACAGATTAAACACTTTATCCCTCGAATGGCTGCAGGCAAGTGTATTGGAGCTATTGCCATGACAGAACCTGGGGCTGGCAGGTAAGCTAAATATTGAAACAATGGTCTTGACATTATGTGCTCTCTATTGATTTGTCAGTGAAAAAAATTCTGAGCCTTCTGGTTATACCATCACTTTAGTGACCAGACAATATCTGAGATTAAGTAGGATCTCAAAAAAACCCCTGTTACTTATAGATTATTTTATTACAGCTTTGTCATTTCAAGATAGTTGCTCAGAATCCATTTCTGTATTGTCCCACTGTGGGCAAATATGCTTTCTATTTGTTTTTATAGTCTGAGTTTATAGTTACTAACTTGCTTGTCATGTGAATGTACTTTTAGTATGAAAGTAGTAAGAAGAAAATTATGTACCTTGGTAAAGAGGGCTTGACTTTACTATTAGCTTTTGTTGTGGAAAAGAACACCTTATTTTCTTTCCTCTGAATCCTTTCAAATGGAGAAATGTCCCTCCTTGCCCATCATTATTGAAGAGCAGACAGCACATGTTTGGAGTAGACACGGTTGATCTGGCCTGTTTCCAAAATAGAGAGGGACAGGTGAAAAGCAAAACCTGTTGGTGTCATGCTCCTGCAAATGGTAGATGTTGCCAGTGGCTTTTTACAGAGCCTCCCGATCAGCATTGAGCCTGCTTTGAGGATGTGGTTTTGTCTGGCATTTGTCATCTAAGGCATACTGGCATGAGGGGATGCTGACCCGTTCATTTCAGTGATTGTGTTACACCACCTTCCACAAGCAGATACATTAAAATGGGAGCTCATGCTCTTGTACAATTGCATAGATTTATCATCCCTTTCCATGCCATGTTTGTGGTTTCTGTGTTGTGCTCTAAGCTACTGCTGTGTTTCACTATCCTTGTATGTGTTTTCACTGAGCCTATGCCTGTATGGTATAAAAATCTACCTTATTTTATACTGGGTAAAATTCAAGATACAAATTGCAGCTTCTGAAATGGTTTCTTGAAGGACCTTTTCAAATTTCGTTTTAGTGACTTGCAGGGAGTACGAACATATGCAAAAAAAGATGGAAGTGACTGGATTCTTAATGGGAGTAAGGTAAGTGAACAGACATATATAGTGCTCAAAGGCTTTGGAAACTGAATGCATTTAGGCAGCAAAGGATGTACACCACTGCTACTATCTCCCCCAGTCCTTTCACTTTTGGGGTTTTTTTGTGGGTTATGTTGTGGGTGTTTTATCCCTTAAGATATTTCTGTTGCTCGCAATTTATGGAAGGCCTTGAGTAGGTTCTTTTTGTAGCTTTAAAATATCAAAAGGCCTATTTTCCCTTAAACTGGCAAGAAAAGGGGGGCAAAAAAACCCCAATATCCTGTATAGTGTAAACAGGACCAGGTCTGGTTTTAGTACTGAGGTTGAAAAACAAAATATATGTACTACTCCTGTGAAATCTTCTGTGGCCTGAGTAGAAACTTCTGTTGCCACAATGCAAGCTGTGGAATCTTTATTCAGGAACCTGCTGGTCATGTTAGGAGAAAAAAAAACCCTCAACTGCATCAGATGCTCTCTGTGCGTTTTCAGGCTGTTGCACAGTTGGCAGCCTTAATCTCTTCTTTCATTGCCGTAATATAGAAGTAAGAAGGCAGAAAAAGTGTTCAAATGGAAGTGTGGGTTCAACAGGTGGTGTTTTGTTGTTTTGTTTTTTTTTTTATTTTAAAGCTATGAAATGTCTTAATCTGCTTTGTTCCCCCTCTTCCTTTGTACTCTTGCTGATAACATGGTACAGATAGAGACTTCTGGCCTTAGCAGAATTTGTGCAAGCAGAGAATGTGAGAATGTGTGCAAGCAAATATGCATATACAGGTGTTCAAAAGGATACTTGCTCATGCTGCACAGTTGAAGCCAAGCAGGACGGATAGCTCGTTATTTTTTTTGCTGGAGTTAAGGTGAATCACTTTGGCAGGTTCATGAGTCATTCTATAGGATTATAGTAAGCAATTGTGACAAGAAGCCATTGATAGTTTTGCATGTTGTACCTTGCTAATTTGACTTCTAGGAATGAGAACCTCTGTGTTCATTTGATGGTATGTTCCTTCTTTATGGTGGGAAAGACAAAAGAAACAGATCTGTGCATTCTTGAACTTCAAACTTTTGACTCACATGATCCTTCTCAAATTAATTCCTGCTTTAATAGACCTTGTTCCAAAACATTTAATTCAGAAATTCTGGATACTTAAGCCTTGACTTTCAGTTCGCCTGTGAAAGTGTCAATGCAAATTTTCTTTCTGCTGCTTGATGATCTCTTCTAACTTTTACCCACCTAGCTTGTTTCTTTACTCCAAGTTGCATTTTTTTACAGGTATTCATCACTAATGGTTGGATGAGCGATGTAGTGATCGTGGTTGCCGTTACAAACCGGGAGGCCCGATCTCCTGCTCATGGGATCAGCCTTTTTCTGGTGGAAAATGGAACAAAAGGTTTCATCAAAGGACGCAAGCTGAACAAAATTGGCCTGAAAGCTCAAGTGAGTTCATGCAACCCCTAACATTTAATAGACTTGGAGGAAGTCTAAAACCACTTAATGCCGAGCGTTAGCTAAATAGATGTAGAATGGAACTGCGGTGCTATTCTGGTTCCTAGGCTTTAGAGCACAAATGATATACACACAAGTATGTATGTGGAGTGTGGCGATGGAAGTCTGAAGCCTGTAATGCGCAAGGAGAGGCTGAGGAAGATGGTTTTGCTTGCTCTGAAGAAGCCTGGAAGGACAGGATCTTATTGGTGTCTTTAGCTGCCTAATGGTTGGTTGTAGAGATGGTGGAGCCAGATTCTTCTTAGAGGAGCACAGTGAAAGGGAGAATGGCAAGGGACACCAGTTACCTACTTAAAATTTTCCTTAATGTATTAAGAAAAAAAACTCGCCATAGAAGTAATCAGACACTAGAACAGGGGTCCAGAGAGTTTGTGGAGCCTTCGTCTTTGGAGCTTTGGAAAGGGGAACTGGACGAGGCCCTCAGCTGCTTGCTTTGTTGGAGCTGCTTTGAGTAGGAGATAAACTAGATTACCTCTGGAGGACCCTTCCAACCTAAATGATTTCAAGTCAAAGTGTACAATAGCAAGAAAAAAAAATGGGGCAAAAGAAGTGGAATGAAGAGATGAGAATGTCAGGCTATAAACTGTTGCATTTAAAATCCTCTTAGGACACAGCAGAGCTGTTTTTTGAAGATGTGCGGTTGCCAGCCAGTGCCTTGCTTGGAAAAGAAAACAAAGGCTTCTATTATCTGATGGCAGAGCTCCCTCAGGTAAGAGGAACGTGAGTGTTTGCTGTCTGTAGGAAGAATACAGAGATAATTTCTGTCATTGCAAGGATCTGTCTTAGATCTGTCTTGGTCTTGAAGATTATGTATGGTGGGAAGCCACCTTGGGCTCAGAACTGGGTTGTCTGTAGTTAACACTGTGTTCATACTGCTGCTTTTTAACTGAAGTACACAGTTCCTTGTGCTAAAAGTGCAGTTCTTTGGACATTGGTAAAAATGTTGATATTCCGCCAGGTCTCTTAAGCAACAACCCAGCTATTGAAGAACCCAAGGGTAGTGTATTTAAAAGAACACACCACAGTTTTCTTGTATACTTCTAGCATGGAACCACTTTGCTTAGTAAATTAAATATAGCTTGGAGGTTTCTGCATTTGGCATTCTCTTTAAAGTAACAAGCAAGCACTGCTGTTCTAGCTCTTCTACCAGTAGAAGCGTATTAAAGATGTGAAGAACTCTGTCCATATAGCAAAGTAAAGAACTTGTTTAGTTGCCAAAATACCTTGCTAGTGGAAATAACAGTTTATGACTTAGTTTATGAAATTTTGGAATTATTTGGGAGGACAAAGAGGGTAATGTGGCTTTTTAAAACATGACTGTGCTTTGTCAAAACTACGACTTTGTATTTGCCTCATCTGGTAGGGATCATGTTTATTTAATTTTATACTGCGAGTAAATATGAAACCTGATCAAAGGAAATCTTTTACTGCTTTAAAGAAATAGATGCACTCGTGAACAGGTTCAACATGATGCGTCAGATTATTTCAGTTGTTCTAGAAGTAATTGTTCTATACTTAGTTTCTGTTTTTCAACATGTTAGGAGGAAGGAAAAAGCAGCTAGGTTTTTGTAGGTTTTGTTTTTTCTAGAGGTGTCTTATTGAAATTGGTAAATACAGTTGTTTAAACTAAGCAGTGAAAATCAATAATCGCAACAAAATTTTATGTGATTTTTTTTTTTTCTGTCAGTATGAGTCCTGTGGTTGATTTATAACTATTTTTTGAGTCATTGTGATAGAACTTTACCCTGGAAAAGACTTAAAAGTGAGCTTCAGGCAGCAAGGCATTTGTCCCAGTCATTAATTTCAGTAATGCAGTGTGTCTGGTTTGATACTTAGTGGGACCTCTGCCCCCCTCCCTTAACGAACACTGAACATCTGTGTCCCAGTTGTGCATCTGATACAGAGAAATGTGGGACTAATTCAACTGGATTCCATAATTTGTGTTTCAAAAGGAAAGACTGCTAATTGCTGATATGGCTCTTGCCAGTTGTGAATTCATGTTTGAAGAAACAAGGAATTATGTGAAGCAAAGAAAAGCTTTTGGGAAGACAATTGCACACTTGCAGGTGAGTTTGAACTGAGAGACTTGTATACGTGTTGCAGTGTGCCTTTGCATTACATCTGTGTATGTAAAATAGTGAGCAAATGAAAATCACTGGACCGTCTTCAAAGGGCTATTTGCGCAGGTTTTGCTGTTGGATTGTGGCTGTTGTTTGCTTCCATGCCCATTGTTCATTTTTGAAAAACAAAAATAATAAAAACAACATGACAGAAGCCTTAATGTATGTATTTTACAATTCCGTTAGATACTTCCTAGCAGTGCTGCTTTTGGAGGTGAAATATGCAGGCGGAAACTATACTGTCTTTTTGCTGGTGATGAAAAATTACCTTGTTGCTCTTAGGCTTGCATGTTACTGTCAGAGGTCCTAATCACAGGGTCTATTACACCTGCATGGATTTCTGTATCTGCCTGGAATCCTACAGAAGAGCTTGGTGCATGCGCAGGTACTGCGTTCCTCTGCACATAATACATTGCAGAAAAATGAACTTTGATGCTGATGGGGGTTCCCAGGCAGTGACCTTGCTGCCTGAATACCTGCAGAGGTGTTTGTATTCAGCTTGATGGATCTTGTAATGAGGTTCCTGAGCTAGCAGCTAGCTGGGTATTTGTGACTATATAAAATGTTGGGTTGTTCTCTGTAAGCGTACCTCACTCCTGACAGTGGTAGTTAATCCTATTTTGAGACGTTTATGCCTATGCTCTTTAGTTGCAGTCATAAAACAGATGTTGCTTTCCATGGTATTGCGATGTAACAGTTTTTCCTGAAAACCACATTAGTTGTTAGGGCTAAAGCAGACCAAATTCCTGCATGTTTGGTTTATAGGACAGAAGTGACTCCTATGGGTTAGATGGTGTTGGCTGCCTCTCTCTTTTTTTTAAATATATTTTTGAAATAATTAAAAAAAGAAGATAATCCCCTTTCTAAGTCTTGCGACTTCCTTTGTCAAAACCAAATATTTAATTGTGAATAGCAGCAGATTGGGCCCTTTAGAGGCTGGAATGCTAGGTGACTTTCAGGAAATTATGATTCTCATTGTTTTTTAAAGCTAATATTCAGAAATCTGTAATTACAGATGGAATTTACTTCATAAACTTAATAGTGTATTATTTTTGCCAAAGTAATCCATTCTTGCATACCTTTTCAGTTTCTTTTTGCTGCTGATGGCTAGAATGTGTATATAATCAAAAATCCTTTCTACTTAGAGCTCTCCCTTGCTTAATTCATTTAGTCATGCTACAGTCCAGTGTTTGAAATCAAATCTTTTCTTTGTAATAGTAGACTGGTCCATTATATTTATTGTCAAGGGAAGCAAGAAGTTTTCCTTGTATACCATTTTAGAGCTGCGAGATAAGAAAAAACTTTGTTACTGCATAGTGTTTTTATCACATCCCTACCAGAATGACAAGAAAAGATGGTTGAATGCTTGCCTGGTCTGGTTTTATATAACCTTAGTGATGGATTTTTACCTCTTCTATCTAGAAACTCTTTTCCAATGTCACAGAACTCAGTGTTGAAAAAATTTCTGATAGTCTAAAATTTCCTGTGTTTTTGGCTGTGTCTCTTAGCATACGACCTAAACTCTGAAGAACTGAATGCATAGAAAAAGCATTCAATAGATGATGAAATGTTAATAATTCAGGAAATTAGTGGCTCTACAAAGTGAAAGGACATTTGCCCACAAGAGGGAGCTGAGTGTGACAGAGCACCCAGTGCCTCCTCCTTTTCGCTCTCTAGGAATTTGTTTTCAGGGTCTTGGAGTTTTTCTCTTAAGGTCATGTTTTGAGTTGGTCTTTAAGTAAAGGGCAGTAATTTTGCCTCATAAGATTGGTAAAGACATAATTGTATGGAAGGTAAGCTGTCTTCTGGTGTACAGCACCAAAGTTGTTTCAAATAGTGATTTCTAACAGAAATCCTTTTAGAAAATGCTCTATTTTTTACTTCAAATGTCACTTAAAAATTGTACTCCTTCTGCTCTTTCTTTCCTCTACCTCTTCTATCCACTTCCAAAATAAGACAGTACAGCACAAGTTGGCAGAAATGAAAACACAGATTTGTGTGGGCCGAGCTTTTATGGACAACTGTTTGCAGCTGCATGCAGATAAACGTCTGGACTCCTCCACAGCTTCTATGGCAAAGTATTGGTATGTGGTTAAAGTAATTTGGAAGTGTTACTTGCATGATCTTGACAGGAGTCTAATGATAAAAACACTGAACTGTTCAGATGTAATGAAAAGATAAAATTACTGTCTGATTAATAATGAAATTGTCAGCTTCTAATAGAGACCTCTAGCTTTAACTTTAATTATATAGTCAATAAAAATCTTAGTTGCATTGAAAACCAATGTTGGTTAAATAGATACATTTCAAAATAAATCATGCTTTTAAAATAGGCTTCTATTAATAATAAGATCAGGTCTCAGCTTTAGCTTCAAGTAAAAGTGAGTACTTCACTGGTATTTAGGTGAACATTTACATTTTACTGTAGCAAATTGTTGTTGGGTGTTTTGGGGGGGGGGTGTTGTTTTTTTAAAAGCACAGGTTCATTTGAAGCCCATGTGATACCTTTTAGTTAATGTTACTTAGCAATAGCTGTTTGATCCAGCCAGTTTTTTGAAGTTATCCGGGTTTGAGAAGAAATAGTTGGCTACAGCTATTGCTGTAACTGAGACTAAACAGTGCTTTCCTTTATTGGCCAGAACTCCTCCCTTTCCCAGTACTTGGTGGTGTTATCTGTTAAGTTAAGTTTAACCAAAGAAAGCTGGTTGAGTAGAAGCATCTAAGATAGTGGCACATGAATTTGTATAGTTTTATTTTGCTTGCAAAGTTGGGAAGGAAAAGTACACCAGACAAATAATTTTATGGAAGATGAACAGGTTTACAGACTTTTAAAAATAAGTATAGAGGAAATGAGCAGCGAATATTAAGGGGATCCAGAAAAAATATTTACAATGAAAGGAAGGATTTTGATTGAGTGCTATTCCTGGCACTGATTACCTACCAGTACCAGGTACATAAGCAGAGGCATTCAGTTTTGAGGAGGAGGAAACAACTAGTGCCAGCTCAGATATGTAGACTTACTTCCTCAACAAATTTCCCAAAGCAAGGCATTTGAAACTCCCCCACCCTCCCAACTGTTTAATGCCACAATTTGTTGTGGATTTCCGCTTTCCCTAATGGAGTCCCGGTGACTCCTTTCCATAAAACTAACTTAGATGATCTAGAAAATGCTTGAATGTAGAATTGCTTTATTCCCTAATGTTTCAGGAGACCATCTCCAGTTAATTTCACTTCAAACCTTCTGTATAGTGAATGACTTGAGTTAGAGCTTTGAAGGATTTTAAAACATAGTTTATGCATCTCTTTTCTAATCTGATGAAAAGTCTGTAGATTTTATTCTATGGTGACAGGGTGTACTATATACCTAAATTAATTTGAAAATACATTTAGGAAAGACAGTTGCAGTAGCTCACTGCTTCAGACATAAAGTTGGTATAATAAACTGTAAGGATTTAACTGGATGAGGGGATGTTTTGGAGAAACAAAAGGGGTTGTTTGGAGAAAAGGATTCTTAGATTCTTCCAGGAGAAGCAATTCACTTGAATCATCATTTTCTTCTGTTGCCATTCTGGAAGTTGTATGCTTAGAAAGCAGGTTTTTTTTCATGTACTTCAACTTTTAGCTTGAACTTTCAGGGCAGTTAAAATCTTCTTTGGCAGTTAAATATGTATTTTGCAGTGAGCAGTCCTGTTTAAGAATTACAGTATTTTTTTTTAATTGAAAACTATAAAATCTATTGAGGATAAGAAATTAACCCCAGGTAATGGTTATACTCAAAGAGCATGCTGGTGTGTTGCTGGTGGTGGTGGTGGGGAAGCCTGTGATGCTGTTAATTTTTCACAAAGCTGAGGGATTTGGTAAGAAAGGAGACTATACCAACCTGCTTTACAAAAGAAATCTCTTGGCCTGTAAGAAAGGTAAACAAGCTTGTCTGTTTTGAAAGCTTGCTTTCTGTGAAAGCACTTCTATATGGAGAATAAATCTTTAATACATAAAATTGAACGGTATTTATTTCTTACCAATCATGAAGGAAGAAAAAAGTCTCTCAGACTATAACGTATGTTAATGGCCAGCATTTAAGATCAGTTATATAGAGTAAAAAGTTTGGTTATATTTTTGTCTTGCTAACTTATCTGTATCTCTAGTAATGTTTCACAGCAGAACATCCTTCTAAAAACAAATTTCTTTTTGGCCATTTAAGGTGTTCTGATCTCCAAAACAGCATAGCTACTCAGTGTGTGCAACTGCACGGAGGATGGGGGTACATGTGGGAGTATCCAATTGCAAAGTAAGTGTAACATTTCAGACTTGAATGATGAAAGATTTCCACCGAAGTAAAATGAGGCACTTCCTTTACGTCTCCTAGTCAGTTGTTTTGTGTTAGTTCTGATTTACTGTTCCTTTTCTCATCGTGTTTATTGAAAGGCAATCTACTGTACAGATGTCTGCAGGAAGACTTTGTTTTGGTTCTCCAAATAATTCATAAGTTGTTGAGCAATTATTATCTATTTTTTCATAAAACTTGCTTTTTCTAGGGGAAAATGTTAATTGAAAAACCAGAGAAGCAATATAAAAATAAAAATGAGGGGAGCTAGTTTGAACGTTTAATCTGAAACTAAATGCATATGTATGAAGGAAAGAAAACATGTTGGTCAGCCTAAATCTTGTGTAATACCACAAAATAACAAATTGCCTCATCAAGAGCATGACAGGCTACATTCAGCTTTTTTACACCTTTTTAAATGGGAAAGCTGAGAGATTTATGTGTAGAGAGAAGAATTTGCGATTCCCAATTTTTTGCTTGCTTCATGATTTTTAGGAACACTTATGGGGTTATTTTATGTATTTCCTTGTATATTATCTATGAAGATGTGTTCCCTTTTGTGTATATGCCATTTGCCACACTAAGAGTTTTTGGTGCTGTTTCTATTTGAAAAAGAAAAAAAGGGGGGGGGGGTAATCTGATAGTAGAGATAGCAAAACCAGGACTGCTGTGCAGTTGTCATAAGCAGATAAACTAATTTTTTTAATTGAGTATGTTTAGATTTTTTTTTTAATTCTAAATACATGTTTTTAGTGAGTGTAATTTGTGAGTGTTCTGCACCCTATCTTATTAAACAGGAAGGCCATCAAGCCCTGTTCAGGGTGTCCTCGAACCTCTGCTTATCTCTGCATACAGTGGTTGTCCATACAGGGTTTTATTGTCCCCGTGGTTCAGCAACATGTGTGTTTCCAGAGAATGCCGCGTTGCTCCTGGGCTGCTCTCTGTACAATGAAGCAGAATTAAGATGGAAAAGCATGCTGTCGTCGTCCTGTGTGCTGTCACCAGCTGTGCATGTACTGGGGCCGGTTCCAGCATGGGGATGGAAATGGTTTGGCTGCCTGCAGCTCTTCGGCTGCTGGCCCAAATGGAGCTGGAGCTGGTGTCAGTAGAAAGCTGTAGCCAGCTGATGTGAAACCAGTTGGCACTTTCTCTGCCTCCCAAGGTGTTTGAGTCCCACCTCAAACAAAGAACTGACAGCACCGTTAGCAGTCCTCTTGACAGGATCAGACAAGCCAGGGCATTAGAGCAAATTACTGTGATAACTATCAGTTTGGCTCTGCAGAAGTTGTTTTTTTTGGGTTTTTTTTTTTTTTTCCCACAACAGTGACGCACCTGGGTCTTGCAGTTCATGCGGGTGTGCTGTTCTGCAGGATGGGGACGGGGGGGTGGGTGAATGGCGGCTTTGGTGTCCAGAATGGAGTTAGCGCTCGGGTGATATGAGGAAATGAGGGAACAAGAATTGGGGGAGGGAAGTGGTAGGAGACTCGTTTTATAAAGCTTATTTTTGTTTAATGAGGGGTGATAGTAGAGACTTTACAATATAAACAAAACAAAACAAAACAAAAAAAAAACAGGAAAGAGATATCGTTCGAATCCCTAGTTTGGCAGAGTGCATTGGAAAGGTGACATATTTTAGTTAGTTGAAACCTCTTTGAAAATGTGAACCTTTTTAAAAATGGAAATATTGAGGGATCTTCAAAGATGAAACTTGGTATCTTTTTCTGTTGATTCCATATCTGTTCTGAGGAGTTGTTTTTAATCTTTACTTGTTTTGTGTGTCTTTATTTTTTTTCCCCTCAGAGCTTTTGTGGATGCCCGTGTTCAGCCAATCTATGGTGGTACCAATGAAATAATGAAAGAACTTATTGCTAGAGACATTGTCAGTGACAAGTAGGGCAGATGCTTACTACTTTGGAGAGTCTCCCAGAATCATTTTATATTAATATATGGCATAAAATCAGACATCAGAATGTAAGTAAAATGAATGTAGTGTATCGTATTCTTTCAAGGAAGCGACACAACTTTAAAAAAGTGAGAATAACAATAGTGTGCTCATATGCAGGATAATTTAATATTTAATGAACTTCCAATTTAAACATCTTTGGATGACCCAGAGTAATTCTCTGGGTTCCAAAAGTTCTGGTAGTAAAAGGCAATTTTGTATCTGGAACGTCATGGGCAGCTAGGTCTTTCGGACTCGACGCCCTCATATTGAATGCACCCCTCACTTTTCAGAGACAGATCTCTTCTCCAGGGAAGCCATGTTCTTGACAAATAAGCAGAATTTAAATGTTAATATACCTCCGAATTTGTGTTTCCCCTTGACAAGTGTCCCCTGTGTCAAGGTAGAACTTGGAGCTCTTGCTGTGGCTGCTGTATACCTGCCCACTGCGCAGCAGCCGCCCGCTGTCCCCTGTTTACATGTAACCCAGAATGCCTTATTTTAATCACTTTGGTCCGATAAGCATAATAAAGCACTTCTACGCAATCTCATGGTTGCCTGCCTTACGGCAAAGCCCGAGGGAGAACCGGGCTGCTTCCTCTGTGCCCGTGTTCGCCTCAGGGCTGTGAGGGGGAGTCTCGAGGGAGGGGCCGTGATCATTATGGCGAGTATTTTCACATATTTCTAAGTTGTTATTCCTAATAAAAAATGCCGAAAAAAGATATTTTTGGGGTTTTCTTAATTATTATGCATGCTGGGGGTTATATCTTCGCTGCCCGGGGCGCTCGGCGCCGTCCCCTCGCCTCACCGCCCCGGCGCCTCCGCGCGCCGCCCTCC